GAATTCCAAAAAATAAAAAATCTAAAAATCGAAGAATCCAGAAGTCGAAAGATCGAAAAGTCGGAGAACTGGGAAATATCCAAAAATTGAGAAATTAAAAAATTGGAAAATTGTCAAATCGAAAAACCAAGAAATCAAAGTCCAAAAATCAAAGAATTGAATAGAGAAATGGGAAAATCAAAAATAGATTAATTGAGAAATCGGAAAACTGAATATTTAGCAATGTTAAAATTTGAAAAATTGAAAAATACAAATACTGAAGAACTGAAAAATAAAAAAATCGAGAAATCGGAAAATCTAAAATTTAAAATAAAACTCTGAACAATTAAAATATCGTAAAATTGAAAAATGTATCCAAATTTTTCCAAGCACCAAAAATCAAAAAATAAAAATTCAAAATGACAAATCGAGAAATCGAAACTCCAGAATTTAGAAAATTGAAAAATTGAAAAATCGGATAACTGAAAAATCGAAACATCGAAAAATTGAAAAGCCCAATCGTAAAAAATCGAAAAATTCAAAAACTGAGACATCGAGAAATCGAAAAATCAGAGGATCGAGAAATCTAAGAGCGGCAAGCCAAGAAGGAAATTGAAAAATTGATAAATCGAGAAATTGAACAATCAAAACATGGAAACATTTGTGAAATGAAAACATTGAAATATCGAAAAATTCTAAAGAAGAAAAAATGGAAGACTCGAAATTTGAAAAATTGAAATCTAGAAGAAAAAGAAAACTCGAGAAATTGAAGTGCCAACAATTTTAAATATTGGAAAACTAAAACATTGAAAAGTTGAAAAATTGAGAAACCGAAGTATAAAACAGTCAAAAAATTGACAAATCTAAAGTTTAATGAAAAGTTGAAAATCCAAAAAGTAAAAAATCAAGAAATAAAAAATCCAGGAGTCCAAAAACCGAAAAATCGAAAAATCGAAATATTGAAAAATCCCAAAACCAAAAGACACAAAAAAATTTGAGAAATTGAAAAAATTAGAATTTAAAAAATTGAAAAATTAAAATATCGAAAAGTTGAAAAATTGGAAAATCGAAATATAAAACAGTCGAAAAATTCAAAAATCTAAAGTTTAAAACAGGAGAAAGTCGATTTCCAAAAAATAAAAAATCGAAAAATCGAAGAATCCAGAAGTCGAAAGATCGAAAAGTCGGAGAACTGGGAAATATCCAAAAATTGAGAAATTAAAAAATTGGAAAATTGTCAAATCGAAAAACCAAGAAATCAAAGTCCAAAAATCAAAGAATTGAATAGAGAAATGGGAAAATCAAAAATAGATTAATTGAGAAATCGGAAAACTGAATATTTAGCAATGTTAAAATTTGAAAAATTGAATAATACAAATACTGAAGAACTGAAAAATAAAAAAATCGAGAAATCGAGAAATCTGAACAATTAAAATATCGTAAAATTGAAAAATGTATCCAAATTTTTCCAAGCACCAAAAAATCAAAAAATAAAAATTCAAAATGACAAATCGAGAAATCGAAACTCCAGAATTTAGAAAATTGAAAAATTGAAAAATCGGATAACTGAAAAATCGAAACATCGAAAAATTGAAAAGCCCATTCGTAAAAAATCGAAAAACCGGAACATCGAAAAATTCAAAAACTGAGACGTCGAGAAATCGAAAAATCAGAGGATCGAGAAATCTAAGAGCAGCAAGCCAAGAAGGAAATTGAAAAATTGATAAATCGAGAAATTGAACAATCAAAACATGGAAACATTTGTGAAATGAAAACATTGAAATATCGAAAAATTCTAAAGAAGAAAAAATGGAAGACTCGAAAATTGAAAAATTGAAATCTAGAAGAAAAAGAAAACTCGAGAAATTGAAGAGCCAACAATTTTAAATATTGGAAAACTAAAACATTGAAAAGTTGAAAAATTGAGAAACCGAAGTATAAAACAGTCAAAAAATTGACAAATCTAAAGTTTAATGAAAAGTTGAAAATCCAAAAAGTAAAAAATCAAGAAATAAAAAATCCAGGAGTCCAAAAACCGAAAAATCGAAAAATCGAAATATTGAAAAATCCCAAAACCAAGACACAAAAAATTTGAGAAATTGAAAAAATTAGAATTTAAAAAATTGAAAAATTAAAATATCGAAAAGTTGAAAAATTGGAAAATCGAAATATAAAACAGTCGAAAAATTCAAAAATCTAAAGTTTAAAACAGGAGAAAGTCGAATTCCAAAAAATAAAAAATCGAAAAATCGAAGAATCCAGAAGTCGAAAGATCGAAAAGTCGGAGAACTGGGAAATATCCAAAAATTGAGAAATTAAAAAATTGGAAAATTGTCAAATCGAAAAACCAAGAAATCAAAGTCCAAAAACCAAAGAATTGAATAGAGAAATGGGAAAATCAAAAATAGATTAATTGAGAAATCGGAAAACTGAATATTTAGCAATGTTAAAATTTGAAAAATTGAAAAATACAAATACTGAAAAACTGAAAAATAAAAAAATCGAGAAATCAGAAAATCTAAAATTTAAAATAAAACTCTGAACAATTAAAATATCGTAAAATTGAAAAATGTATCCAAATTTTTCCAAGCACCAAAAATCAAAAAATAAAAATTCAAAATGACAAATCGAGAAATCAAATCGAAACTCCAGAATTTAGAAAATTGAAAAATTGAAAAATCGGATAACTGAAAAATCGAAACATCGAAAAATTGAAAAGCCCAATCGTAAAAAATCGAAAAACCGGAACATCGAAAAATTCAAAAACTGAGACATCGAGAAATCGAAAAATCAGAGAATGGACAAATTTAAGAGCGGCAAGCCAAGAAGGAAATTGAAAAATTGATAAATCGAGAAATTGAACAATCAAAACATGGAAACATTTGTGAAATGAAAACATTGAAATATCGAAAAATTCTAGAGAAGAAAAAATGAAAGACTCGAAAATTGAAAAATTGAAATCTAGAAGAAAAAGAAAACTCGAGAAATTGAAAAGCCAACAATTTTAAAAATTGGAAAACTAAAACATTGAAAAGTTTAAAAATTGAAAAACCGAAGTATAAAACAGTCAAAAAATTGACAAATCTAAAGTTTAATGAAAAGTTGAAAATCCAAAAAGTAAAAAATCAAGAAATAAAAAATCCAAGAGTCTAAAAACCGAAAAATCGAAATATTGAAAAATCCCAAAACTAAAAGACACAAAAAAATTTGAGAAATTGAAAAAATTAGAATTTAAAAAATTGAAAAATTAAAATATCGAAAAGTTGAAAAATTGGAAAATCGAAATATAAAACAGTCGAAAAATTCAAAAATCTAAAGTTTAAAACAGGAGAAAGTCGAATTCCAAAAAATAAAAAATCTAAAAATCGAAGAATCCAGAAGTCCAAAGATCGAAAAGTCGGAGAACTGGGAAATATCCAAAAATTGAGAAATTAAAAAATTGGAAAATTGTGAAATCGAAAAACCAAGAAAGCAAAGTCCAAAAATCAAAGAATTGAATAGAGAAATGGGAAAATCAAAAATAGATTAATTGAGAAATCCGAAAACTGAATATTTAGCAACGTCAAAATTTGAAAAATTGAAAAATACAAATACTGAAGAACGGAAAAATAAAAAAATCGAGAAATCGGAAAATTTGAAATTTAAAATAAAACTCTGAACAATTAAAATATCGTAAAATTGAAAAATGTATCCAAATTTTTCCAAACACCAAAAATCAAAAAATAAAAATTCAAAATGACAAATCGAGAAATCGAAACTCCCGAATTTAGAAAATTGAAAAATTGAAAAATCGGATAACTGAAAAATCGAAACATCGAAAAATGGAAAATCTAAAAATTGAAAAGCCCAATCGTAAAAAATCGAAAAACCGGAACTCCAAAAATCGAAACATCGAAAAATTCAAAACCTGAGACATCGAGAAATCGAAAAATCAAAGGATCCAGAAATCTAAGAGCGGAAAGCCAAGAAGGAAAGTTAAAAATTGAAAAATTGATAAATATAGAAATTGAACAATCAAAACATGGAAACATCTGAGAAATGAAAACATTGAAATATCGAAAAATTCTAAAGAAAAAAAAATGGAAGACTCGAAAATTGAAAAATTGAAATATAGAAGAAGCAGAAAACTCGAGAAATTGAAAAACCTACAATTTTAAAAATTGGAAAACTAAAACATTGAAAAGTTGAAAAATTGAGAAACCGAAGTATGTTGAAAATCCAAAAAGTAAAAAATCAAGAAGTCAAAAGTCCAGGAGTCCAAAAACCGAAAAATCGAAATATTGAAAAATCCCAAAACTAAAAGACAAAAAAAATTGAGAAATTAAAAAATTGTAAAAGTGAGAAATCAAAAAACTAAAACAGCAAAGCCGAAAAATCGTAAGCTTAAAAAATCGAAGAATTGAAAAATCGTATCATTGAAACATTGGGAAATTGAGAAATCTAAACATAAAAAAATCGAGAACTCGAAAATTTGAATAATGGAAAAATTGAAAAACCCCAAAATTGAAAATCCGAAAAATCTCAATAGGGTATTTACAACCACAAGTTCAGGACTATGCTACTTTTTAACATGTAAGAAATTGTTTTTATTTTTTAGTCCATATTGCTACAAATGCGTTTTTCAGTTTTTTTTTTAACTGTTTTTCTCTCTATAACAATAATTAAAAATATTAAAATTCTCCAAACGCCATTGCTTGTAGTTTGAAAGGGAAACACTAATTTAGTACAATAATGCAAATATGATGCATATATGGCATCGCCATTGGGACGTATATCTATATATTTTTTAATTCCATTGTATATTTTTTAATATGCAACATAGAAATAAATATTTCGTTTTTAGTTGACGCTTAAATAATGTAAATAAAGTGTAGAATTTTCAAAATGCATTACACAGAAAGCTTTTGAAAAATATGTTGATCTTCATAATATATTTTTTCGGAAAAACAAGGATTTAGAGGTAAATTACGTATACTGATGTAGACACTTTGTAATTAATAACTTATAACAGAGAAACTTACGTTTTAAATCCTCTAATGCACTAAATAAAAAAATATCTTTATAACGAGGTACTATTTCTTCCATTGGGAATGAACTAATCATAACGACATCATGTCCTCTTTCAGCTAGCTTTTTTAGTAAAATTTTCCCCAGAAGGGTGTGGCTTGTTCCAGGATGATTAAAAACGCCCAAAACTTTAGCGCTTTCACAAAATATTGGGAACATTACAAACACAATCCACACTTTCATTTTAAACATAATTTCAAATGATCATCATCTAAATTGTAAATGTGCAGTTTAAATATTCTATCTATTTAATATATACGAATGAACTAGTTCACAGATATCAGTTGAGATTTATTGATGATAACCTACTTATTTATCTTCAAGTAAGTACTTTAATTTAATTTTTATCTATAGGTACTTACCTTGAAAATAACTGTACAAATAAATCAAAATATAATCAGTGTCATTCACTCTTTTGGTGATTACGATCACAGTTCACAGTTGCATAACTACAATGTTATTTAAAATTTTTGGTTTATTAACGTGCTTATTACAATGTATAAGTGGAGCCAATATTCTAGGTTTATATTTTCACGCTGGTAAAAGTCACCATATACTTGGCGAAACCTTACTTAAGGAACTTGCAAGAAGAGGCCACAATGTCACTATGGCTAGTCCCTTTCCACTGGATGAACCTTTTCCTAACTACACAGACATACATTTAACTGGAATATTAGATGATCAGTTAGGTAAGTATTATTTATAATTAAATATAAAAATATCTACAATATTATCATAGCTAGGGAAAGCATGTTTATGAAAATGAATAAAGGTCATACATTCATTGGTGTTAATGATGTTCTGGAGCTAACAAGAGCACAAACTGAGCTAACTCTTAATCACACAGAAATGGCAAAACTGTTAAAATCTGGGACAAAGTTCGACTTAGTTATCATCGACTGGTTTATGAATAGCGCTATTTTAATGTTTGGAAAGCTGTTCGACGCGCCAGTTATTCCTATAGCATCTCACGGGACTACACATCTTGCCAATTACATAGTAGGAAACCCAGCACCTCCTTCTTACGTACCAAACGTAATGTTAGCATTTTCCCCTGATATGACATTCTTACAAAGATTAATTAATGGTGTGGTTACTGTTGGATATAATTTAGCTAGCTACAGTAATATTAAATACCACCAGGCTCTACTAGAAAAATATTTTGATAATCCCCCCACGATCGAAAAACTACAAGACACAGTAGCTTTAGTTTTATCCAACGGACATTACAGTTTTGAATCGCCCAGACCTTTTGTGCCTAATGTTATCCCAGTAGGTGGATTTCATGTGCAAAAACCGAAAAAGTTGCCACAAGATCTTCAAGCTTATATGGACAAGGCTGAAAAAGGAGTGATTTATTTTAGCTTAGGATCTAATATGAAAAGCGTATTATTGCCTAAAGAAAAGCAACAAGAAATTTTAAGAGCACTAGCAAAAATTCCTTACAATGTTTTATGGAAATGGGAAAACGATGATTTGGATGACAAACCAAATAATGTTCTTATCCGTAAATGGTTTCCCCAGAACGACGTCCTTGGTAATAACTGTCAATTTCGAAATCGAAAAATATTTATATTGCACTTTATAGGACATCCAAACTTAAAACTTTTTATCAGTCATGGAGGCCTTCTAAGTACAATTGAGTCTCTGTATCACGGGGTACCAGTGCTGGGAATACCTATATTTGGCGACCAAAAGGCAAATATACCAAACGCTGTGGCAGCTGGTTATGCTGTTCAGCTGGAACTAGCTGATTTAAATGAAATAAGTTTGGGTGAAGCGCTAAATGAAATTTTAAATAACTCCAAGTAAGTGGTCTGTGAAAAAAGTGTACCTACATGTATGTGTACGTACATAAAATTAGCATAATGTTTCATTTTTTTCAATTCTTCAGTTTTCGATTTTCTAATTAATCAGTTTTTCGATTTTACAGTTTCTCAAGTATTAAGATTACAATTTTTAAATTTCTCGGTGTTTCAAGTTTCGTTTTTTCTATTTTTGATTTTCAATTTTGCATTTGTTTGTTTTTTCTGTTTTTTAAATTTTTAGTTTTTTCATTTTTAAGGTTACAATTTTTCCTTTTCCAATTGTTGACCTCTTGATTATTCGATTTTGAGTTTCTTTGTTTCTGCAGTTCTTCGATTTCTCAATTGTTCGGTTTTTCGCTGTTTCTTTTTCGATTTTTCAGTTTTTAATTTTTTGATTTTTCAATTTTTCAGTTTTACAATTTTCCGATGTTTTGATTTTTTTCAATTTCACTGTTAATAAGTTCGTCTTTTTATTGAGAAATTAAAAACCGAAGAATTAAAAATAAAGTACTTCGAACTAAGTAATTCCACGTTGTTTCGTTTCTTCGATTTTTATTTTCTCAATTTTTGTTTTTTTTTAATTGTTAATTTTTATTTTTCAGTAAAATTTTTGTATGTTCCGATTTTTTAATTTGCAGATATTTTAATTTTGCGATTTTCCAAGTTGCTTATTAATTTTTCGTTTTTCCCTCTTTTTACGATTTTTCCTTTTTTCGTTTATTCAGTTTCTCAATTTTTAAGGTTTCAGTGTTACAAATTTTACGTTTTTATTTTTTTTTCAAATTTACACTTTTGTAACTGTTTCATTTTTAAATTTCACGATTTTTAATTAATCAGGGTTTTCAGGTTTCAATTTTACAATTTATCGATTTTCAAATTGTTTTAACATTTTAATTATTCGATTTTGAGTTTCTTTATTTTTTCAATTCTTCGATATCTCAATTTTTAAATTGTTGGGTTTTCAGTGTTTCTTTTTCGATTTCTCAGTTTTTAATTTTTGGATTATTCAATTTTTCAGTGTTACAATTTTCCGATTTTTTGATTTTTTAAAATTTTAGTTTTAATAAGTTTGTCCTTTTGTTGAAAAATTAAAAAGCGAAAAATTGAGAAAATAAAAAATTAAAAATCAAGTACTTCCAAGTAGGTACATAATTACAAATTATTTTGTTCCTTCGATTTTTTGATTTCTCAATTCGAGATTTTTATATTTTTCGTTTTCTTAATTGATAATAATTCTTCGATTTTTTAGTTTTTCGGTTTTCATTATGAAATGTTGCATTTTTTAGTAAAATTTTTGTAATTTTCGATTTTTTAATTTGCAGATATTTTAATTTTTCGATTTTCTGATTTGCTTTTTAACTTTTCGATTTTCTATCTGTTGAATTTTGCAGTTTTTCGATTTTTCGATTTTTCAATATTTAGATTTTTAATTTATCACTTTTTCAGGTTTCAATGTTACAAATTTTCAATTTTACAGTTTCTATCTTTTTCTCAATTGTTCCATTTTTTAATTGTTTTTTCTTTACCCGATTTTCAGTTTGCCAATTTTTTCAATTTTTCGATATTTCAAGTTTGGTTTTTTAATTTTTGATTTTCAATTTTTCATTTCTTCAATTTTTTCGATTTAAATTTTTTTTCAAATTTGCAATTTTGTAATTGTTTCATTTTTAAATTTGCCGATTTTTTATTGTTCACTTTTTTCAAATAATTTTTATTATGATTTTTTTTTTAATCAATTTTTGGCTTTCCCATTTTCCGATTTTTCAGTTTCTGTCTTTTTTCAATTCTTCGATTTTTCAACTTTTAAATTTTTCGGTTTTTGAGTGTTTCGTTTTTTCGATGTTACATTTTTTTTTGTTTTTCCATATAGCGTTTTTATAATTTCTTAATTTTTTAGTGTTCCGGTTTTCATTTTAAAATTTTTGAATTTTGAAATTAAATTTTTTTGCATTTTTCATTGTTTAATTTATAGAAGTTTTTGTTTTTCGATTTTTCAATTGTTTTTTCAATTATCCCATTGTTCAGTTTCTCATTTTTTTTTATTTTTCGATTTTTCAATTTTTAAATTTTTCGATATTTCAAGTTTCATTTTTCAGTTTTTGAGTCTGATTTTTTCGGTTTCTTCAAGTTTTCTTTATTTTTTTCAATTCCTCGATTTCTCAATTCTTTGATTTTTCAAGTCAATTCAAAATTTCAGTTTGAATAAATTTGTCCTTTTGTTGAACAATTAAAAAATGACAAATCGAGAAATTGAAGAAATAAAAATTGAGAATTTGAAAAATTTTATTTGGAAAATTTGCAGAATATTGCTTCGTTTTGTCAATTTTTCAATATCTAGATTTTTAATTAATCATAGTTTTGAGGTTTCAGTATTACAATTTTTCAATTTTTCAATTATCCAATCCAATTTCTCAATTTTTTCATTTTTAGATTTTTCAGTTTTTCGATATTTCAAGTTTCAGTTTTTAGTTTTTAAGTCTCATTTTTTCGGCTGTTTCAAGTTTTCTTTATTTTTTCAATTCTTCGATTTCTCAATTTTTTGATTTTTCAATTCGATTCAAAATTTCGGCTTGAATAAATTTGTCCTGTTGTTGAACAATTAAAAAATGACAAATCGAGGAAATGAAGAAATAAAAATCGAAAATTTGAAAAATTTTATTTGGAAAAATTGCAGAATTGCTTCGTTTTGTCAATTTTTCAATATCTAGATTTTTAATTAATCATAGTTTTGAGGTTTCAATATTACAATTTTTCAATTTTTCAATTATCCAATCCAATTTCTCAATTTTTAATTTTTCGATTTTTCAGTTTTTCGATATTTCAAGTTTCATTTTAAAATCTTTGAATTTTGAAATTAAAATTTTTTGTATTTTTGATTATTTTATTTATAGAAATTTTTGTTTTTCGTTTTTTCAATTTTTCAATTTCTCGATTTTTAATTAATCAGGGTTTTCAGGTATTACAATTTTTCGATTTTTCAATTGCTTTTTCAATTATCCACTTGTTTAATGTCTCATTTTTTCATTTTTCGATTTTAAAATTTTTCCATATTTCAAGTTTCTTTTTTCAATTTTTGATTCTCATTGTTTACGTTCTTTCAATTTTTCTTTATTTTTTCAATTCTTCGACTTCTCAATTTTTAAATTTTTTGATTTTTCAATTTGATAATTTTTAGACGTTTCAGTGTTACAATTTTATGATTTTTAAATTTTTTTAATTTTGCAAAATTTCGGTTTGAATAATTTCTTTTTGTTGAACAATTAAAAAATGAAAAATCGGGAAAATAAGGAATTAAAAATTGAGAATTTGAAAAATTTTATATCGAAAAACTGCAAAATTGTTTCTTTTTGTTGATTTTTTTCAAGTTCTCGAATTTTTTGTTTTTGATGTTTCAGTGTTACAATTTTTCGGTTTTTCAAAAGTTCAGTTTGAATAAATTTGTTCTTTTGTTGAACAATTAAAAAATGAAAAATCGAGAATTTGAAAAATATTGTATCGAAAAATTGCAGAATTGTTGCGTTTTGTAGATTTTTCAATTTCTCGATTTTTAATTGTTGCATTTTTTGATGTTTCAATTTCGGGGTTTTTTATTTTTTCGTGTTTCCAACTTTTCAGTTACCGATTTTGCAGTTTTATTTTTAATTTTTCCATGTTATTACAATTTTTCAATTTTTCGGTGTCTCTATTTTTTAGTTTCTCGATTTTCATTTTGAAATTTTTGGATTTTTCATTTTAAAATTTTTATATTCTTCATTGTTCCAATGATACAATTTTCCGATTTTCCAGTATTTTAGTTTGGATAAATTTGTTCTTTTGTTGAAAAATAAAAAAACACAAAATTGAAAAATTAAAAAATTAAAAGTTTAAAACTCAAAAAATTGTAAAATCGGAGAACTAACAATATGCTCATAAAATTCATTTATGAATTTGTTATCCAAGGTACAGTAACAATGCGAAGAAACGTTCAGAACTACTCCATGATCAACCAATGTCACCCATGGACACAGCCATATTTTGGGTTGAACACGTTATACGTCATAAAGGAGCACCCCATCTACGTAATTCAGGTAACCATTTGACATGGTACCAGTACGTAATGCTGGATGTGATTTTATTTTTGTTTGTAATCTTATACTTGTCTTTCGTTATATTTCGTATTTGTATTAGAAAAATTGTGGCACTATTTTCACAAAATCGTAAACAAAAGCAGAAGAAAAATTAATTTATATTGTTATCTTGTTCAAACAAAAATGTATTTTTTCTAAAATAAAAAGTGTAATTAAATTGTGTGCATCTACCTGTAAATAAAATTTGTACGTTATACTAAATATGTATTTGATATAAATTGCGACTAGACCTTCTAATCAGTGTATTTATAATTTACAATGGTTTTAAAATAGGCTATATTTTTTAGTTTTAGTTTAGGTATCTCAGTATGGGTTGTTTAAGATTAGATAAGTACTAAGTACTGTGACGTAAGTAACTAACAGAACTACTTAATTTTTTTTTGTCATTTGTCTGTCTGTCGTCTGTGCTCTGTGGAGATATAATTTGTTAGACCGATAATGTGATAATCTCCGAAACTATTGAACCCATTGTTCTGAAATATATATGTTTATTAGCAATATCGTATACATGATAAAACGCTAACCAAAATTTTATATACATATATGATGAACTTATAAAAAATTTAATCGAACACATGTGTATCTACATATTTTGTTTTAATATAATGACCACTAAAGTGTTTCTTCACCTAAGTATGGCTCCGATAGCCAGAAGTGCAATACAGAGTAATTTAGCAGATTCATATAAAAGGGGGATCAAGAGTCCTACAAATAGGCATAAACGACAGGATTAAGCGGTAGCACAATAAACAACCCCCGTATTATACACCATAAAAGAGAAGTTAATTTGATTCGCCGGTTCATCACAAGTGTTTAAATGTGCTCATAAATCAAATCTTTATCCTCAGCCAAATGTTCGTAAATTTTCCCCTCGTAGAAACGAACAGTTGACTATTCATTATATTTTCTAATTCATCACACCACTACGACAATCAAAATTGTGTACTTATCCAATACTTTCATGGCAATTGAAAAGAAATTAAAATTTGTAGTAACAATTATGTCATTCCTGTACAGCTTGCATTACAAAGCAAAATTCGTAAGTGGTATTAAGTCCCGATTGTCGACCTATCTCTACGCTACATTGTAAGATATTTGAGTGAAGTATGTCAGTTTTATTGAAAAATATTCTGAATATTTATTAAGATTTGCACATAACAGAAACTATTTGTTGAAATGACCTAATAATGGAATTATGTAGATTGGTTTAATTTTAGAAGTTGTAGCTAAAATTCTAGCAGTAATCAAGTTCTTGTTGCAAATTCCATAAAACCAATTGATAATTTGATAATATATTTAGCTCTTTAACATTATATCACACAATATTGATACTTAAATTACGTAAATTTTATGCACACTTATACATGTAAGCTTCATTTTAATATTGTTACGTTTGGACATGTAAGTACTTTATGTTTGACAATAAAACCCATTATTATACACAAATTGCACTAGGATACATATAGGTGGTTTTTGATATACGTCAACTTTAATAGAACTGACAGATTCATTAATTTTTTTGGGTCACAGTGTATATGGAAATCGAAAAAATGTCAATGGAATGATAAATCAGAAGTACCGACTCATCATATTTTCTACATTTTAGAAAGGATTTATCCGGCAAACTTTTGAGCTGACGTCATCAATTTTTTGGAGGGGATAAGTAAATATATCTTGATTAAAAATTTATCATCCTTATAATAATTGTAAACCATCTGCATGATTTCAAAGTTTACGGTTTTGCAGATTCAAAATTAAATTGCAAAATGTTGTTTTATAATTTTGATTTTTTTTTTTCCAAAAATTTGGACGTTTCGGGTAAAAACTCAATACGGAGTCGTAAACTACATGTGTATTAGACTATGTTATTTCATACAATTTAAAGCCCATGTACTATGTGCAATTTTGAAGTGACGTCATCACATTATTGATGGGAATGATTAGGCAAATTTTGGTTAACGTTTTACCATCTACATGATATTCCTAATATAAGTAAAAAATTTGACATACAATTGGCCCACTACTTTCGGAGATTGTCTATCTAATAAAAATTCGGGACGGCAGACGGACAGACAGACGGAAATGAGTGTAACGTTTGTACTCCGAATGAAAAAGAAAAATAACTTAAAAATAATTACAATTCGTAAATACGTATACAACAATAAATAAAATAAAGCATCCAAAGAAATGAAATCTACTGCAGCGTAAAAAGGGAATAAAAAATTGGTCTAAAGAGTTTAGACAGTACTTCCCTCGCTGTCGGAAACTTGACGACTGCATGCCTATTGTGTTTTTTTCTCATTACATTTTTATAGTGGGAATTTAAAAAAAAATTGCAATGACGTCATCAACATTTTTGCAAGGATACGTATATCAGTTGGGATAGATGTAGTGTAATACTAAGAATAAAATTATTATATTCTCAAATTTTCGGGAAAATGAATTGGGTCGTTTTGAATATTGATTTGTAATAATCAATAAAATAACGAAACAATTTACTCACGTATACGTATCAGAGGCAACTGAAAATCGTGTATGTATAAACATTCTTAAATTAAGATGACAAGCGTAACAGCATACGTGAGAGTCAAACAGAGAAACTGTAAACAAAACGACCATCGGTTTTATTGCTTCGACTTCCGCTTATTATATAAAACATTGGGTTTTATTTTAATTCTTGCCGGTGAAATTCACAATTGATTGATTATAAACATGTCTATTTCACATTCGCGGAACCAAGTGAGCGCATAAAACAAATGCAAGTCTGTAATGTTAAAGTCGATGTAAATAAGCGTGCTACCCTTATGTTTCAACCGAGTTTTTTCTTTAACAAATTTTGTGTCTACCAAATTGGGTTGGTTGGGGTGTAATACTAATAATAAGCGTTGCCTTTAATTTAATCAATAAAATAAATTGACTTCATTAATTTTTTTGAACCACCTCTTAAGAAAATCTAAAAAATATGAATGGAATGATAAATCACAAGTACAAACTCATCATATTTTTTGCATTTTAGATAGGATTTATTCAGCAAAATTTAAGGGTGACGTCATCAATTTTTTTAGGAGGGATGAACAAATACATTTTGAACAAAAGTTTACCATGCTTATAATAACTTTAAAATATTCCCAAGATTTCAAAGCATTCGGTTTTGTAATTCCTGATTAAATCGATAAAATAAATTCACGCCTTCATTAATTTTTTTGAGTCACCCTGCATATGCAAATCCAAAAATATGAATGGAATGATAAATCACAAGTACAGACTCATCATATTTTGTACATTTTAGATACGATTTATTCGGCAAACTTTTGAGCTGACGTCATCAGTTTTTTGTAAAAGATAACCAAATATATTTTGACTAAAAATTTATTATGCTCTTTATAACCTTAAAACATCTGCAAGATTTCAAAGCATTCGGTTTTGTAGTTCCTGATTAAATCAATAAAATAAATTTACGCATTCATTAATTTTTTTGAGTCATCCTGTATATGCAAATCGAAAAAATTTAAATGGAATGATAAATCACAAGAAGAGACTCACCATATTTTGTACATTTTAGATAGGATTTATTCAGCAAAATTTTGTGGTGACGTCATAAATTTTTTACGGGGGACGACCAAATACGTTTTGATCAAAAATTTACCATGCTTATGATGATTTTAAAATATCTTCAAGATTTCGAAGCATTCGGTTTTGTAGTTCCTGAGTAAATCAGTAAAATAAATTTACGCTTTCATTTATTTTCTTGAATCACCCTGTATATGCAAATCCAAAAAATATGAATGGAGTGATAGCTCACAAGTACAGACTGATCATATTTTGTACATTTTAGATATGATTTATTCGGCAAATTTTCGAGCTGACGTCATCAAGTTTTTGGAGGGGATAAGCAAATATATTTTGACTAAACATTTATTATGCTCTTTATAGCCTTAAAACATCTGCAAGATTTCAGAGCATTCGGTTTTGTAGTTCCTGATTAAATCAATAAAATATATTTACGCATTCATTAATTTTTTTGAGTCACCCTGTATATGCAAATCCAAAAAATATGAATGGACTGATAGATCACAAGTACAGACTCATCATATTTTGTACATTTTAGATATGATTTATTCCACAAACTTTTGAGCTGACGTCATCAAGTTTTTGGAGGGGATAAGCAAATATTTTTTGACTAAAGATTTATGATGCTCTTTATAGCCTTAAAACATCTGCAACATTTCAAAGCATTCTGGTTAGCAGATTAAAAATTAAATTTCAAAATATTGTTTTATAATTTTGATTTTTTTTCCAAAAATCTGGACGTTTCGGGTGAAAAGTCGATTCAGAGTTGTAAACTACATGTGCAGGACTATGTTATTTTATACAATTGAAAACCCATTTACTATGTACAATTTTGAAGTGACGTCATCGCATTAGTGGTGGGGATGATTAGACAAAATTTGGTTAGCATTTTACCATCTACATGATATTCTTAATATAAGTACAAAATTTCACAACAATCGGTCGAGTACTTTCGGAGATTATCTGTCTAATAAAAATCCGGGACGGCAGACGGACAGACGGACGGACAGACGGACGGACAGACGGACAGACGGACAGACGGACAGACAGACGGAAATGGGAGACCTATTTCTTCGTCTTCTAGGGGTCATGAAAGATCGAGAAAACGTAAAAGTAGAGAGTCGGCCGACGGACTCGATTACAATACTTCCTTTGCTTACGCTCGGGAAGTAAAAAAAAGTGCAGATTTTAGTATCAATTTTGTATAATTCCAGAATTTTGCATAGCCAGGAATGAGGGACAGAATCATAAGCTTTCTTATAATAAATAAAAGCAAGTATATATGTTTCGGTTTTCTTTTCTAGCTTGTTCACAGATGATGGAATCTATAATTAATTGCTCTTTGCAACCAAAGGATCCTTTAATACATCCTTTCTCTTCTTCATTAATGAAGTCAGAGTTAAAACAGTGTTGACAGATTTTTTGTGTAATGCATGAGGTTAATATTTTATAGATTGTCGGTAAACATGTGATAGGTCTGTATTTTGATGGATTTTTTGTGTCGTTATCTTTAGGTTTTAGGTATGTTACACCAAGACATAAGAATGTTGGAAAGGAGGATGGGTCAAGAAGGAACTGATTTAAGTGATGTAGTAAATGAATATGTACACAATTTAATTTTTTTATCCAAA